AGCGGATCGGGTGGTATAGTACGACATAGTGGATTAATCTTCTCGCTCTCGGTAAACACGGGCGGTTTATTTTGTCTACGGTGCTCTGCGCTCGCGTTCTGCATTACGCGTATGCACGATGCGTGCACATACAGCGAGTCAGAATCACAGCCACGCGGCTGTGCGCGCTTAATGACGCGGCCGATCATTATCGTTATATTGAGATGGCCAATAACAGAGTGCCTCGCGATGCCTGAATGGAAAATTCATAGTCATAATTCTTTGTTATTAGACACTCGATAAAGGAAAAATTAAATATAAGCATTAGATTATTTTCTATTCAAATTAATATTGTAAAATTTTGTTATTATTATCACTGAATTTTTCTTGTTCTTAAAAATAATTACAAATATTATTTTTGATTCTAAGATCTGATTCTTTGATTCTTTTCATCTTATCTTTGATTCTCTTATCGAGAAAATTAAAAAATTAATTGTTAAAAATTAATAATTGGTTGAAAAGAATTAAGGGGAGATTCTTTCTCGAATATATTTTTCCAAAAGATATTGTTAACATGTGTTACATATTGTAACCGATATATTACGATATTATCTTGCATATTATAAATTATTTAGTTATTTAATTATATAGAACTGTCTTCTCCCCTTCTCCCTTCTCTTTTTTGCTCTTTCTCAATCAAAAGTAAATTCCTGAGCCCATTTAAATTGCAAAAAAATATTCTGATGTTAAAAATCTTTGTATTTCTTTGTTTCAGTAGGCCTTAAACACGGAAACGGCGGCGTGGGCAGCGCGAGCAGTTCTAGGAGCACCAGTCCGAGTCAGCAGCAACAATCCCAGGGTGCTCTTTCGTTTATTCCGCAACCCAGGAGTCAGAACACGAATCGACAACCAGCGGCCACTACACCGAGGTAAAATTTGTCGTTGAGAAAATAGATACTTTTTTCTTTGCAATCGCGTGCGATTATTAATCTCTATTAAACTTAATTATTTAAAAAAGGAATTAAAAATTAATTATTAAGAATTAAAAATTAGTTCAATATAGAAAAATTAAAAAAAAACTAGATTATTTAGAATTTTCTCTTTAGTCAAAAATGCATTTTTGACATGTTGTATAGATTGTTGTTTATTGTAAAATGATTATAATACATTAGAATACTAATATTATATAAAAAATACTATTATTTAAAATTTATGTTTTAATTAGAAAAAGACATATCTCTTTTATGTAATCTATATTTAAATATTTAAACATTAGAAACATTTTCCATTTGTCTCCTTTCCTATTTTAAATTTATTTATTAATTTATTTTATTAATTTGCAGTCCTCGAACATCTACGGTGGGCCGACCTAACGGGGGCCTAAGGGTTCAACAACAAGCCTTGCCATATTCCGGAAACACCACTCCGGCACCTCAGCCAAACAAGAATTCTGTGCTGGACAAGTTCAAGCTCTTCAACAACAAGGAGAAAAATCAAGAGCGCGGAAAAGCTTCTTCAGGAGTTTCAAAACGCACTTCGAGCTCTTCTGGATTTTCTTCAGCGCGATCTGAACATTCGGACAGTTCAACTTCTCTATGTGATCAAAGCAAAGCGCAAGCTCAAGAATCGCCAAAAAGTCGCGCGCTGAAATCGAAACTGCAATCAGCCAAGCCGGCGAAGCAGGCAAGTCCGAAAACAGGTAGAAAGGAGCAAAGCAAAGCTCAGAGTAAGATCGCGCGTACGAGCAAGGGCCCGCTAAGCTCCTCGGAGAAGTTGACGATGCCTTATAATAATCCAGTCATGGAGCAAGATGGCAAGATCGCCGGTAAAGTGGTGGCTACTAAATTACCAAATGATAAGAAAACACCGAATCTTCAAGAACTAGCAAAGCAACCAGTGGCACAGTCACTAAAGACGAATCTTTCAACTCTGACGCCGCCTAGACAGATCAATCCTCAAGATATCAAGAACGTGAACTTGAAAAACGAGCTCCCTACGACAAAATCTTCACCCAGACCCAAGATGGAGCTTCCAGGCAAGATGCCGGACTCGAAAATTCATCTGCAAAATGTGAAATCACCGCCAAATGGTTTAAATAAGGATTTAATGATGCAAAAGGCCATCTTAGCGAATACCAACGGTATCATTAAGCCGTCCGAAACGGTAGAAATGCTCACCCGCGAGAATGACGTCTTTAATCGTACCCTGAGCATGAATGAAGCCAACCTATCAGACTGCAAGGATTTTATGTCAAAGCAGAAAGAACCGGAAGTTTTGGAAGAGCAAACAGAGATGGAAAGCTTTGATTTACCATCAAAGACTCGAGAATCAAACCAAGACAAGATTATTTGCGAGGAAGAAATCGAATCTACTGACATTCCCAATGAAAAACAGGATTCTCTGACTGATCACATAGATCCAGTAGCTGATGAGAAGCCAGCTAATGCTGAAGATGGACCCGCATGTCCTCCCGCGCAGAGCAATCTGAACTTTGGGCCCAGTAAACCGCTGACAGGCTCGAATAGTCCTCTTCAAGGTCCGAACATGGCCGGGCTCAGTCCGAATTCCAGCATCCCAAAACCTACCGCTCTCGTGAAGGGTACGTCGAAACCGTCGAAAGAGAGCGGCATAATCGGCGGTGTACCGACGCCGACGAAGCCGAAGAGCGGCGACACTCTTCATCGCAAACTTGATCCCAATACAGTAGCGATGGTGTCGCCGATGCCGAGTATCTCAGACCTCATGTCTGAAAGCTCACACAGCAATTCTAACAGCACCGGGCAGAGTAATTCGAGCGACAGTAGTGTGATTTATAGACCGAGCAGCGAGAGCGGCAGCGAGATCAAGACGATTCCCAATCGGAAGATTGATACTACATTCGAGCAATTGGAGAAGGTTAGTGGAAATGTTTTGATATATTACTGAGTGAAATCGAGATAATTATAATATTATAATTTATATATGATATATAATCACATGGAGCAACTCAACATTTCAATTGAAATGTTTATCCCAAAAAAAATTTTATTATACGATGTTATTCAAAACAAAACTAGATTTAAAATTTATAATAAATAAATTAAACATATTTATAAAATTAAAAATTAAAATTGACATCAAAAAATGCTTACCTTTATTTTGCCATAATAAAGGTGCTGTCAGAGAGTTCAACATGCGGCGGTACCTTAGCGGACGACGAGGCCGAGATGACAGTAAAACCCATGCAGCCTCTTCTGCGTGGTTACACACCCGGGGCTCGGGGCCTGCAGACCCTTCCGAGTCGCACGACGACCCGACAATATACTGTTCTACATTCATCATCGCATCATCATGTTAGTGGTCACCACGACTACGCTGACGTAGACGTCGCTTCCGGTTATCTGAGTGACGGTGAAGTGCTGCGTGGTGGCATGAACGTCGGCAGCAGAACCCTATCTGATCTGTGCGACGGATACATGTCCGAGGGTGGCGCGTCTCTATATGCACGCAGACTCAATCCTTCCTATAGTCACGAACACGACAGGTAAGCCCCTGTATAATTTTTCTTAATTTTTTTAAGCGCATTTGCGCTAACTTTCAGCGCGTACTGTGCTATAAGTTATAAATTCAAAGAGTCACTAACATTTGTAAATTTAGTTGTAATTTTTGCCAATTTTTAATTAATTAAAATTTTTTTAAATAAATGGATTATATAGCATCAGTATTTAGCAGAAAAATTACATAGATACGCGTATACATACATAAATAATATACAAAAAATTTAGTACATATAATAAAATGCATCTTAAAGAATTAATTATCAGAACAATTTTAGAAGAATGGAATTTCTACCTATTACAAGTTAATTTGCGAGAAAATTAAACTACGGAAAATTAAATGTTTGATAAAAGATAATGATTTCTTCCAACGTAAATTAACAAATATATAATGATTATTTTTCATATATAAAAGATTTTCTTCGCTCTCATCAAGGATATTATATGACAATAATATAATTATTACGATAATAAGAAAAAATTAATATGACAAAAGAAAAATATAATCTATCATATATTGTAGTATATAATCTATCAAAAATAACATTGGTTCTAGATTTCTACCAATTTCTCGATGAATGATTATTATCAAACTCTAAGAGAGGATCAACGACAATTGAATTGGCATGAAAAAGGGATCGAGGGAGCTTTCTCGCGGTTGAACTTTGCATATCAACGTCGACCACGCGAGCGATTCGCGACGCGCGTCGCAAAAGTTTTGCTGAATCGCCGACCGGATGGATCATTTTTTATCGAATGAAATATGGATGAGAGAAAGGTGCGAAGGCGCAATGCTCGCGCACACGAGAGAGTGGCGATAAATTAGCGCCGCGTGGGCGACGCTGAGCGCGCGCCGAGTATTGATCAAGAAAGCTCCGGGTCTAAGCTTGTCGCGAGCGCTTTTCGACGAAAAACCCGTAGCATTTCCGCGGAGTCCTACGCATCTCGCAGCCTTCGATAAACCATCATATTAATCTTTAATTAAAATTATCGTTGAAATAAATAGAAAGCTTTTGCTTCATTATTTCGCGACGTTTACTTGAAAAAAAAAAACTTCTTTTATGCAAATATTACGAATTTTACAATAATATTTAATATCAAAAAATTGAAATAAAAATCGAATATATTGATATAAAAATTTTTTAAATCTTTGTTGGATGATTTTATTTTATTCAATTAGCAAACAACGACCAAGCGACTAAGGATTATAGTTTTCTATTTTTCGAATGCATTAAACATAGGAACGCTTTCTATTTTAAACAACGTTTAGATATTGTCCAGTACACAAAGTAAATTCGCGTCGTGATTCCCTCATTACGTTTCATCATGCCTGTGCCTTTCTCCCTTCTTGCAATGAAATACTCACGACCAACTGAGAGAGAAAGGGAGAGGAAGAGAGAAAGCTTTATTATTAGCTCTGACCTATGTATATTCAAATTAACATTTCAAGTAGCAAGCCAATTTCATTGGAGAAACGCGAAGACGAAGCGTACGTGGTCTTCGCAGAAAACACCCTTCTTGTATCGATCATATTCAAATCCTTAATCTCTCGTGTTATGCGAGCTTTTTGCGCTACTTATTATGCAACAGTTAATATTCCGATCCAGTCTGCGATACAAGCCCAGGATTTACTAGCCATCGAATTTAGCGTACATAAAAACACAAAAAAAATTGTTTTTTTCTTTATACATATAATTGTATAATAAGATTTAATTCTTTTAAGCTATCAAAATTTATCATACTTGGTTCGATAAAAAAGCTCACATCTGCGATAATCTATCCAGATTTTTGCACGTATGTCGGGCGAATGAATCATACAAGACTCGCGAGAAAGACGCTTCTGCCGGATAGTCTGACTACGGTCTCTAATTATGCAAAATTCACGAGGCTATTTCCGGAGACGTGTCCAATTACTCAACACCGCTTAGACTGCTTTTACCACGATCGAATTAAAGCATGGCCAGTCATTCGATTAATACGCGAAAACGATTTTACTATGTTTCCATAAATATTCGTCACGATTCTACCGATGAAGTTAAGCTTCTTATAAGAAGTCGCGGAATCTCCAGCATAAAATCAAATGACAAAGAAAAAAGAGAAGTAAAAAATACAGGACTTTTATCTTAATATACTAGATACGAAGTATACACAACTCTACAATACCAAAATTTAAATTACTATTGTATTAAAATATTGTTTGACATCTTTTTCTTAATTCCTGATTTTGGGGTCACTCAGATTTATATATATCAAATCTATATTTAGGAAAGAGATCTATATATATATTATCTTATATTTATTGAAATCTTATATATGTATATATAATTAAAAAGATATTTTCTTAATATTAA